GTCTGTGACCTGAAATCTCCACTTTTTTGGATTTGTTAACATATTTTGCAATGTAAGGATTTAACTTCAAATGAACACCACACTCCAGGAAGTTAGCTAATTGGTCCAAAACAAAGAATGCCAAGGTATAATTTGGGAAAAGTTTAAGAAGTTCTGATAACAACGTATGCGAGAAGAAAGAGGCTACAGTTAAGGAAGTTTCTTTTCTTCCCCAACTTACAACAAAGCGAACCTGAAATTTAACCTGATATTTGCAATGCTCTGATTACTCAGGAGCATTCCATTTTCTGAAATCATTGCGATAATGTACCCAAATCTTGAGGTACAGACTGTTCTTGCATCTGATTGGAAGTGGCATATTTGTTAGGTATTGCAGATCTAAGGCTGCACAGATGAAGGTGGGGACTTGGGGGAGGGTTTCAGTCAGGGAAGGGAAGCTTCCTAGACATTACAGCTCTGTCCAGAGGCCAAATGGGAGATAAATCACTACTGGCCACCTCTCTTATTATTGAAATGGTTCAGCCCTGGGGTTTAACTGAAGGACTAACAGGGTTTTGAAGTGCAAATAGGATGGTGAAGGGTAAACCCTTTTAGGGTTTCATTTTGATGGATTTTTTTCCTGTGTGGATTTCTGGTACTGACTGTGATCTGGAAGAGGCCCTTAAAAAAAAAAAGTTTTGTTTTGTTTTTGATCAATCAGGCAATAAGAACTTTCCACAGGGGTGTACTTTTCCTGCATGCATATTGATCCTATTGTGTTTAAAAGTAGGTCATTTAATTCGGTCTTTTTTTTTTGAGCCTTCTGCAATAGAGCTGTCATTTCAAGGTCACTTCTCTCTTGGTATTAATGCCAAAGTTTGAGAGTGTTGCATGATGTGGTACTTTTGGATTAATAGGTTGTAGGGCATTACTTAAGGCCAGTGTGCAGTGTGTGTAAGGCTTTGTTTACAAAGTCCTCTTGTTAATGATCCAGTCCATAATAGAACAAGTCTTTTATATAATGATAAGCATTCTATGATTAATCTTTTTTCTATTTTATGTAATTGTGCATTATTCATTTTTATTATTTTGTATGCATTCTGTTTTGTCAGCCTTTAAAAAAAACCTAAAGATTCTGAGATTTTGAAATACCATACTATGTTATTTTTAAAGATATATTGAAATGTTTGAGGAAATAAGGGAAACATAAAAATGTTTCAATAAGAAATATGTTGATTTATCAAGTTTTAAAATTTTCATTTACTCTCTGCCCCCCAAATAATTCAAACACAGGAGATAAAATGAAATATCTTTTAAAATTTATATTATTTTAGAAAATGGGGATGTGAGGAGTCATTTGTGACTCCAAAGAAAAATGACTGTAGCATAACTGAAAGGCTCTCTGTGCAAAAGTTTTAAAGAAATATTAAAATTTTTTCCTAAAGAAATGTCATTATAAATGCTTACATTTCTTCTTAGAAGTATTATTGATGGAATTTTCTTAAGCATTTTGGAACTTTACTTTAGATACAAACTCTTTAGATACTTTAGATATAAACATAAATATCTGTATCATTTGCCCTTTTTGAGACTAATCACATATTTAGCTGCAACAGAGGTTTTCCCCTGTGTCGCTTGGTATCTATTATAAAAACGGTTGTTAATCTCTGTAATTGACATTGATCACACAAGGTTCTTAACTGACCTCCACATTGGTTTTTATTTTATGTGCTTCAAAAATTCCCCTTCATTGTATATATCTAAATATTAGAGATATATTTACTTACTATTGCTGTATAATGATTTTAAATAAGATGCTCTAAATAATAACACCACCAATAACAAAACCCCAAAATCCTGGATGGCATCAGGCGGAGTCTCCTGCATCTATAGCTTCTCTGTCATTAGTTTGTTGCTGGGAGATGTTAATATGACCTTTCCTTTGTTAGAAAAAGAGATCTGCAGCCCTTCCCAGAATCCTCTGTTAACTGTCTTTTTAACCCAAGTTGGAGGTTGTCTGATGAATGAATGGTGAGCTTTTTTTTTCTGAGCTGCACAGATTGTTGACATTGTCACATGTTGCTTTTTAATTTCTAATGTGTTTTTAATTTGCAAAGCATGCATGTGCCTTTCACAGCAGTAGAACTGAGTCAGCATTTCTGAGTTTGCCTTATGCAGACAAGAAGGGTCAGGCTTAAGAATGCAGTATCTAGTCTTAGATTTCCTGAAACACACATGTGAATGAATTTCACTTTGAATATTGTTGAATAAAAGAAGATACTTGAGAAAGGCTTGTTTCCCCCCAAAGAACTTCTCTTGCCTCTTGGTGAGTGAATTGCCCCAATATAAAAGCATTGAGGGGGGGGAAAGTGAGTTACAGAGTGAAAAGGCAATCCACAAATAATCACTCTTTTCTGCCTTTGATTGTGTCAGATTTTTTTGTGTGTGTGGCAATTGTTTTCTTTTTCGCTTAGAAGAGGTTTATGGTCCAATGTCTGTCAAGTCAGCCCCTGTCTTAAGGTTGCAGTTGTATTTCTCTCTGGAGTTCCTGGGGGTGATGTTATCTTTTGTTCACTCAGCAGTGTGGTCGTTCCTGAGAGCATCTGTCACTTTAGGCATTACAAGATGGATGGGTCTCCAGTGAACTGCTGGTTGAAGCAAATGGTGAAAATAAGAAAAGACAAGGGGTTTCAGGGTCTGCAGAGGGGACAGACAACAAGGAAACACTGTTAGAAATCAAGAGTAAGCTGAGCAATAGAGGAAGAGAGAGCAAAGATGGATCAGATGTCATTTTATAAACATCTTGGAAATCAGAATCTTTGGGAGGCTATCGTGATCTGAGGGAGACATCTACATCATGGTAAACAATTCTGTGCTTTGGGTTTGCAAAATGTTCTTGGAATTTTTAAAAAATCTGTGAAAACTGTTGGGAAATAATGACATTGAATATATTATGTGAGGATTTTGCTGTTTGGAGAATTAGCAGTCTTTTGAAATGTTTTAAAAATTAAATTTAAAATCTAACCTTTAAATTTTTGTTTCTATTTTATTTTCACTTTTTGCTCTCCTCCCTCTGTTTTTTTTTTTTTTTTTTTTTTTTTTTTTTTTTGCTTTTTCAGTAAGCAACTGAACAAACATAGATATTAAAGTGTTTTGAAAGTTTTGGCCACATAACTAACATCCTTATTGTTTACTGAATGCCTTTTGGCATTTTTATATGGGAATCCTGAAAATTCTATGCTCATGCTTAAGGGAGGCTGGGTGCACATTTTAAGTTATTTTCAGGAACCTCCAACTTAATTTAAGTTGATTCTTTAATCAAAGAAAGAAATATAATTGTTAATGATCTGTCAGAACAAGTTGGAGATTTGTATTGTATTTAGAAATTCATTTTGTTGGTGAATGTCAAAATTTGTAAATCCTGCCTAATACAAAGTCCCTCCCATGAAAGACAGGGAACAGGAAGGAGGTTGACCAAGGAAGGGGGGCAGGGTGGAATGCGATTGAAAAAAATGATTTTGTCAAACTTTTTGGCATTTGTCTATGAAGAAGACCATAGGTTGAAAGGCAAAGAAATTAAGATGATTAGAAGCTTTAAGCTATACAAATGGTTGAGTATCTTCCTTCTCTATGGGTGTAAATAATAGATGAAAGAGTAAGAGTGACAACAAAGGATCAGGTCATTTAGGAGAATGTGTGCAGCCTGAATAGGGGTCTGTGGCCCAGGGCCAAAGGTCTTAGCTTTGAGTGTAATTAGAAGAAAATACAAAAATGTCATTACTAACAGGTGAAGTGTGCAGCACGTGGCCAAAAATTAGCAATTTTAGACTCTGAAGCTATTGGAATTGGATTACTGACCTTTTTTTTTAAATCATTAAGGTCCTTGTGGAGTAATATAGTTTCATTGGCAAGTAATGCAGTTTGACCTTGTTGACCATATGGGGTAATCTTGGGTTGGGGTGTAGGTAGTGAGGCTCCTCCTGACTTAGAAAAAGATGTCTATTTTTGTGTGGATAGACAAGAAATATGTGAGTTTGAAAATCTGGTTCTTGCATTTTGAATTATCCTTTTGCCTAAAGACATTCTTCTAATAGTTAAGAGAGGTAAGATAAATGTTTTTATTCCAAAGTCTAAAATGGTTCTTTCCCCTCTACATAGTTGGCATAAAAGAAAAGCAAAATGAAAAAAAAAAAACATTTTTAGATAACCTAAGTTAATTTTACTTCAAAGATTTTAGTGCTATATATATTTTTATTGACATTAGTACATTTGTAGGAAAACCCTCATTTTTTTCTTTACAGTAATAAAGGACTAGAAATGCTTCTAAGTTATGTATCAATGACAGTGTTATTTCACTTTATGCTTTACAACTATATTTCCTGTTTTTTCATGTAATAGTTTTATATTGACCATAATCTAGTAAGTGGAGAGAATAATATGCACACTATAATTTTCAACCAATTATATGTAATTATAATTACTTTAATATTTTCTAGAAATATACCACTCTGAAGCATAGGAAACAGTAGCTTCTTTTTTTTTTCTTTCTTTCTTCAGGCTTCTTGGAGTTTATTCAATCAATGTTGGTGGTGTTTTATATTGTTGATAGTTTTTTAGTAAATTTTTTGCCAAGTATTAGGGATTATTATTAAATTCCTTGAAGTAAGAAAATTACCTTAGACTAATTTAATTGCTAAAAATAGTCTGTGGGCCTTGGCATTATGGTAACACCTGTCACAAATGCAGACTTGACAGACTTATTCAACTTACATTTAGTGGGGGGAAATTATTTTTGAGTATAAGTAATAGAAGTATTATTTGGGGAGTATTTAGAAAGGAGGAGTATCCATATGTTTGCCAGTTATGATGTTTATGGAGTTGCATAAGACTTTGATGATTAATTTCTACTTGTGATTTTTATGGAATTGTAAATATTTAGATTATTATATTATAGAATATAATGCATTTGGAAATTAACTTATGTCTTTATGTATATATTTTTATTTTTTATGTTTTTGCAGGTGCAAAAAAAGCTTTAAACAAGTTAAAATCTAGGCAACAGACTCCCTGAAGTGTTGACTGCCCAACCTAATCATGAACGTGATTCAAAAATGTTAATAAATAAACCAAGGTATTGTACAATTATACGTGCCCCCCCAAAAAAACTTTCAAGATCAAATTTGTTTTAGGAAGTTGTATTTAGAATTTAAATAAAGCCACTATACTTTGTCCTGTAAGTGATTAAGCAATATTTCCATGGACTCTTCTCCTTCCATTTCCTCCCCTCCTTGCTTTCTTCTCCCCTTGCCCATCTTCTCTCTCCTCCCCAACAAAACTTATTCTTCAATAAGTTTTTTCCCTATAATAGCCTGTATATCTAAATTTTTCCTATATATCTAAATATTTCCTATATACGTAAATTAAGAAAATAAGAATTTAGTTTTTGATTCCCCTTTGTTGATTGAAATTTTATCTTTCAAATTATCTAATAAAAGAGACTTGCTAGATTATTGGCTTCTGCAGAAAAACCCAAACTATATCTAGGGGCCACATATATTTAAAATTTGTCTCGTATAACACTATCCTGAGATGTATGTTATAAAAGTTTTATGAAAGTTTTTTTGGTCTATTTTTAGAATGCTTTTACTTTAAAAAGGCAAAAAGATAAAGCCTTTTTTCCCCCCTCCTATGTCAAAGAAAATCAAAAGCTGGCTTAGAATTGAAAATTTAGCGCTACTGTTTTAGGTTAACTCTTGTCTATCAGAGAAGGGGTACTGTCTCCTTTTGGAAGTTACAATGTGCTTAATGTGCTTAAATAGCCTGGTATTTCCAAAAGAGGCCAAAGATCTTTTCCTCTTTTATGACCCGTTGTATCCTTTTGAGGCCAAAAAGAACAAGAGGGTCATTGCCACTTCAGCCTGGTCCCGGTTTGTCCCTTCGTGGTGACCGCGCAGATGCTGAAACCCAGTATTAGCTTAACATTTGGGCCTGGAACATCTGGAAAATGGTCAGAGATGGAGTGGAGGAGGCAGAAGAAAGAGGGAGAACTGTTGCATTTTGTTTCACCAGGTGCTAGGAGGAAGCAACATTAGCCTTTTTGATATGGGAGGCACATTCTGTGGACCCTGGAGTTAGGCTTCAACAATTGAGGAGGTCAAAGGACAGCTGAGTGGGGTCAGTGAGACACCATGGGGTGTATTTTGTTACTTAGTAAAAGGAGCAGCCTCCTAAAACCTTAAAGGATTCTCTTGAAAATCTGTGTTGTGAAAAGGTTTTATGAGTCTCATGGCAAAAACTCCTGATTTATCTAAGGAATGCTCGCTTTTGTCTAATGGAAGGATAATCCTTACCAAATGTTGGCAACTACTATAAGAGTCAATATAGGTCTGAAAGAACTGTTAGGGTTTAAAGTGTACTTTGTTTTCCAAAATGTTTATCATTTTAATGTTTCTCAGTGAAGAATTCTGCACTGTTGAAATATCACCTTTTTCTGTCCTTGGAGCAGAAAATGTGGGGAAAGGGTTGGGGATGGAGAGAGAGAAGGGGGTAGGAGTGAACCTACATTAATTTAAAAATTATTCTACCAGTTTTCGACCTTACCTACAAACAGTATATTATTACTAAACCTTTAAAAATACCAAAACTTGTTAACTCTAAAAAGTTATTTTTGAATTTATTTTAACTTATAAGGGAAATAGGTGGCACATGAAGTGTAACATTTCTGGATTACAGATTTTTAAAATTTAGTTGTTGGTAGTTGATAGAAGGGGCTATCAGTCGATGAATAACCTTAAACTTTGTGTTTCTCCCTGGACGTGTCAAGGAGAAAATCAGTGGCAGAGTTGAGGATGGAAAATAAGAAAAGCAATATAATAGGAAATTTTCTCTTTGAAGGGAGATGGAGAGGGGGAAAAAAATCCACATGTTATAAAAGCTGTCTTTACCACAGCCCATGACCTCAAGAGACCACTTATATGACTGTGGGTATCTCTGAGAGGTATTAGCCACCTGGAAGATAGGTTGTGAGAGGGAACTGTTACAGGAATTTGGCAGTATTTTGATATTCCAATTTATACACTATATTTTATATTCCAATCTATACATATATAATTAGAAAGAAAGCATATATGACAATGTGTATGGTAAGGGAAAAAAGATAAAATGATGAGAATTATATAATAAGCCTTGTTAATTTATAAATTTACAGTATGCATTATTTACGTGTGTGATTTTTAAAATCCTTTTCAATAATTAGTCGTGTAAAAGGAACATAGACATAAATCTAAGGCTTAGCATGCAATGTGCTTTTTTTCTGTTTTCTCAAGGTTAAAGCACCTTTCAACAACTAATTTAGAAACCTAAGTATAGTGACTGATAATTGCTAGAGAAAACCCACAGCTGTTTAAGTAGCATTGAAATTGTGGCAAAACTGACAAATACAATTAGCAATGTTAATAAGGTAAGACGATGGAAAAATGGGGCAGATGACGGGAAAAATGAAGGTAGCAGGAGTAAGAAATGCATAAAAGAACAAAATCAGAAGGTTTTTAAAAAGAAAAAGAACAGAATGTTTAGAGTTGCTTTGAATTTCCAGTGCTTTTTCTTTTAAGCTATGTCTTCCTTTTTTATTACTTACTCTATGAGTTAACAGCAGAACATGTGTTTTCCAAGTTAAATAATTCAAATACCTTTGTTGGTCCCCTAACTCACATCTGATTTTGGCCAAAGACTGCTATTTGGCAGTAGTATTTAAGAAACACAATCAAATTTTTCTGATTCTAAGGCACATTTTGATTTGAGGTGCTTTTTTAAAGTCCGTTTTAAATATGTTTTACTGCAATTACTGTGAGTGGGAATTTCTTTACCCCTATTTGCCCCTTTATTTGCCCCTTTAGTAATCCAAATACATCACAAAGGAGACTCTGTTTCTAGATTTAGTGACCCACCATTATCAAAAACAAAACAAAACCCAAAAAACCTGTAGAAGTCTTTAATGTTTTATTACTAATTATGTTTATCTGGTAATGTTCATAGCCCACTTTCCAAATAACTTCTTAAGAATATCCAATAGGGCTAGGTAAATAAGAGAAATTAGGTGAGTGTTCTGTGAAAAATATTTAGTTATTTCCCACTATACTTTTAAAGGATCAGATGAAATTTGGAAAATGACTGTAGTACCTTTTGAAATTCTGTGCATTTGGGAAATTGGTTTTTTCCTCTGGTGTTTCATACAGATTTTAATGATTGTTGTGATATATCCCCAGAAGTTTGTTCTCTGAAACCATAGAGACACTGAACTCTGAGTGTGGCAGAGGTGATGGATGTGGTAAGCCACACTTTGGAAGCATTTCTTGTTATTTAATGTTTTCTGTTCTGGATTATTGACTGTTCTCCTTGTTGAAAAATTGGTCTCTGGTGACACGGTAGAGGTCACACGTTGCCTATTATTGTTTGTTTCTTTGATCTTACACAGGGATTGCCTCTGGTAATTATACTAGTTCCAGAGAGTCTTGACAGGAGGTGTTTATTTTACAGAAGAATTTCTGGCATTTCAAGGAAGAAAGTAAAAATTTCCAGTAGTAACGTGTACCTCTTTGTTACAAAGGAAAAATAGCATTGTATTTTATCTTGTAATTATGACAGTTTTTAGTCATTATTATAAAATTAGTTGATATATTACAGTAATTATTTCTATAAGAATTTAATACATTTTGTATATCTGTATATATATTGCTAAAATGGTCAATTTTAGAATTATTAGGGCTGGGTTTTTATTTCAGTATCTAAAATATTTTTGGCCTCAGAAACTATCAAAAGAGATTCATCCAAATTTAAATGTACAGAACTATTAAGAGGTTGAAAATTTTGTCTTTTAATCTGTTTGTATTTTCTAAAGATTCTCAGCAAGGAGGATGAATAAAAATGAATTAGAACACTTTTGAATGCATGGTTAGCTTTGTACTTTTTTGGAATGTGCTTGGGAAGAGATGATATCTCTTGGATATGACAGAAAAGCTCAATCTATTTATTTTTTTAAAACCTCCATTCCAGCTTTAAACAAAATATTTGCACCCCCCCCCCAAAATTCACAGTCTAGTGGGAAAGTTAAACAAACCCTAGACCTAACTAACTATAATTATGAGTGACAAATATCAATTTAAAAGAATAAATGAAATGCTAAAAAAGCACAAAAGAAAGAGAACTTACATGCTGGTTTTAAATTTTGGATTCTAGACTCTATGAGCACTTGCAAGAACCATGGTTTATTTGTCTAGGAGTCATACATTATTGTTCTCATCAGTGAATATTTTTAATAGAGAAAGAGCATGTAAGCAGTAATACAATAAGAAATGATTTTCATATGCAAAGTTGAAGAATTTTATTGCTGTTAAGGGGCAGTCACGATCTGCTCTATGCACTCACAGATGAAGAAACTGAGCTTGAGAGGGGTTAAGTGACTTGTTCAAGGTCACATCGCTAGGGACACAGCCAGACCTCTTAGAACTTCAGAAATCTTTTATCTCTCAGTCATTGTGTATACTGTAGAGCAGCGGCCCCCAACCTTTCTGACACCAGGGACCGGTTTCATGGAAGATAGTTTTTCCATGGTTGGGGGTGGGGGGTTGGGGGGAGGGGGCCTTGCGGCCTCTCATGGGGACCTCTGGACCCAGCTCCCTTCCACGTGGTTTGCCGTGGGGTTTGCGCTCCTCTGAGGGTCTGATGCCACAGCCTATCTGACTGGGGCGGCTCCAGCGGTGATGGGAGCGATGGGGAGTGGCCGTGGGTGCAGGTGGGGCTTCCCTAGCTCACTAGCTGCTATGCAGCCCCGTTCCTGAGGTACATCCACCTGGGGGTTGAGGACCACAGTTCTAGGGTTGCACTGTCTAATATGATACCTACTAGCCACATGTAGCTATTTCAGTTCATTACAATTTAAAAAAATTGAAATTTTATTTCCTCAGTCACATCGACCACATTTCAAGTGCTAAACTGCCACATACACCTCATAACCACCATATTGGACATTGTGGAATGTGAACATTTCCATCATCTCAGAAAATTCCATTGGACAGCACTGCTCTTTGTGTCCAAAGTCATCTCTCATGATTTGTATGTGTGATTGTAAAATTT